ATGTTGTTGGATGTGATCTTACTCTTACACCTCCAAGATTATCGGCTTTACTAAGTCAAGTGTTGTTGTGAAATATTTGTTTGCAACTTTTCTTCTATATCTGTGCTACTCATGTGGTACGTTTTTAAAATATAGAAAATGTAATGCAAACTGTTAAGTTGTTCCGGGATACAAGATGTGTGCCGGTGTCTGTAGGATTCTGTCTAGAAGTTCTGATTAACTGAACAACAATTTGGCACTTCACACGTACTATTTGCTATTTGTATCGCAGTCTGGTGAATTGGCTGAAAAAGTCTCAGAAAACATTGACCCGCATTATGCTGACGGTGTAGACATGTCGGAGGTCCAGGTACTGATTACATGAAGGACTTAAATTTTTCCCTGATATATTACTTATTTTGGATTCTTCATAAGCTGTGTTGCTGTGCAGGATGAATTTTCTGCCGTCATAACGAAATCATTGGTGACGCTGGTCCTTGGAATTGAAACTAAATTTGACACAGAAATGGCAGCGATGACACGTGTTCCATGGGGGACACTTGACAGTGTGGGTGACCAGTCTGGGTAAGATCTAACTGGGGATTTAAAGCTTCTATTGTTTTTGATGCCCATAAGACCACGCGTAAACAACATGCACTTGCATCTTCTTGTAGGTACGTGAATGGAATAAACACAATTCTTAGCGGCAGCATGCCTGTCCTCGGGAACCTTCTAACACCAGTTTACTTCCAATTTTTCCTCGACAAGGTAATTTATAGAGAGTGCCTTTTATGATGAATACTCTTACATATTTAGGACCCGCATTAAATTTATTTTACGGTGCTTAGATTGGAACTGTTATGGCCCATAGCTATTGCCAATAACAGTTCAACGGTCTCAAGGCTTGACCTTTTATTGTAAAACTTTGTGCAGCTGGCATCATCTCTTGGACCACGGTTCTATGCTAATATTTTTAGATGCAAGCAACTATCCGAAACTGGAGCTCAACAGGTCAGCATGCGAGCTCTCTATGAAAAGTATTTTGTTATGGATAATCCTTTTCATGCTTTGAAGTATTTTGTTATGCGTCTAGGCTCCCTGAAGTATGAATTATCTGTCTTTTGGTTTTACAGATGTTACTAGATACGCAGGCCATGAAAACGATTCTTCTTGAGATTCCTTCCCTTGCCAGACAGGTTAGCTCATCATTACCAATCTATGTATATTTGCCTCTGTTGGTGACTCTGTACTCAAAATTGGTTATTGTTGACTTGCTGTTATCTGAGTATGTAGCATTGGTTCTGTTTCAGTAATAGAGCCGATATGATAGTGTATGTACCACCAAATTGAGCCTTTCAGTATGAAACTAGTTACTTTTTTTGAGGTTTGATTGATCTTTTAATAATATCATTGCAGACTTCAACTGCTGCCAGCTATTCCAAATTCGTGAGCCGTGAAATGAGCAGAGCTGAAGCACTTCTTAAGGTCATACTATCCCCAATTGATTCGGTGGCAGACACTTATCGTGCACTGTTTCCAGAAGGTACTCCCATGGAGTTTCAGCGCATCTTGGAACTTAAGGTGACTTTGTCCTTTCTTAATCCATTTTTGTAGTTTATATTCTCAGTACTTTTCCGGCAACTAACTCCGAACCGTTATGGTGATGGTGCTGATACAGGGTCTTAAGAAAGCTGATCAGCAGAGTATACTTGATGATTTCAACAAGCATGGCCCAGGGTTCACGCAGCCCTCGGTTGCAGCGGCAATGCCACAACCGGTTCCAACGCCACCTGCACCGTCAATGGCGATCAGTAATCAGGCTACAGCCGCTGGGTTCATAGCGAACAGCGAGGATGTGTTAACGAGAGCAGCAGCTCTTGGCAGGGGAGCTGCAAGCACTGGATTTAAGAAGTTCATTGCTCTTACTGAAGCTGCCAAAGACCGCAAAGATGGGCCTTTAAGGAGACTCTTCAACGCATGATTTGTTTCTTACATATCTCATCTCAACTTTTGACATTGTTGCAATTCCCACAACCTTAGTTTCCCTTCATGTGTGTTTCTGTTACCTTAGAGAGCTTAACCGAACCGAAATAACAGTACATACATACATTTCTTCACTTCGGAAGGTATTTTATGTCAGGTAACCGAACCGAACAAACCCCATTTTTAAATTGAGTTAAACAGAATTTTATCTGGTTCAGTTTGGTGACATGTTTCTACACTTATTTTCAATCATTGAACTAAACCATGATGGAATACAACATTTTTACAAACATAATAATGTGAATGTTGTTGATGATGGTTTAAGTTGAAGTCGGGAGTGTGAACAAGAGAAGAGAATTCTTTGATCATGTAACAATTAAAAAAACCCACTGTGTAAAAAAAATCTACGAAACAACATTTTCTATGAAAAAACTTTAAAAACAAAAACCTCAACAAAAATACATATAATTGTATCATAACAGCAATTATAGAAAATGTTATGATACAATCTTTACAATCTTTTATAATTTTAAAAATTTATTTATTTTATAGCAGTTCAGTTTATTTGACCAAAGAAATTCATATTTTTTTCAAACTGGCTTTAGAGATCTCCGAGTTCATAAAATGTTCCATGAAGACATCAGAGCTACCTCCAATTGGGTGTATTCGATGACCAATACATTTTCTATATAGTAAAACCTCTATAAATTAATAATGTTGGGACTCTCAAATTTTATTAATTTATAAAGTTATTAATTAATCAATAAATTAACATTTTAAATTAATATTTTATTAATTTATAGAGATATTTTGAGTTTGAACTTTTAATATTTATCAAAAAATAAAATCAATATTATCAACAATGTAAAATTCATTCAAAAAATGTCATAATAATGAATTTAGAAGATAAATCAAACAAATTTTATAAACTCGAAATAATAATATTATCATAGTTTACTATATTATATTATTAATATATGGGTAAATGTATAATTATTAATTTATATTACTATTGGGATCATATTTTTACATAGAACTTTCAAAAAAAGTATTATCTTATTATCTTATCGAATTTTGTCAATTTTTACACTGGTCCGACTTGAGACTGACAAAAATTATTAATTTATAGTAATTATTAATTTATCGAGTATTAATTTATAGAGGTTCTACTGTAATACTCGAGGATACTATCGGCATTAAAAGAATTAAAAAGGTAAAATTTATTGTTTTGCTTTAGTAATAATTTATTTAAATATTTTGAGGATATTAGTTTTTTCTTTATTGGTAGTAATATTTAAATATTTTTTTCTTTTGTAAAGAATCTATAATGTATTTTTTCATTGCCAACTTCACTCACTTTCCGGTAATTACCCCTAGACCATGCCTTTATAATTGTTGCGAAAGGCAGAACTCGTGCAGGGGAGCTCTTCCTCATGTTGCAGAACTCGTGCAAGGGAGCTCTTCCTCATATTGCCACTCTAGATATTGTTGTGTCTCTCTATCCTGAAGGTAAGCATATTTTGATTCATTGATATCAGAGAAGAAGAGGTAAAAAGAAGAAAGAAATAAGATAACTTTAGTGATTATCGCCTATAAAAAGTTTTTCACTCTTTATTATTTATTCTATTTTTTGGATATAGTCTTAACTCTTAATTATTTATTTTATATTTTGAATATAATTTTATTTGTTTATATTTGTAAACGAATTGGTAGCTAGCATAGTAGCATGATAATCATAAAAAAAAACATGGATTTTTATTGTCTAGAATGATGTGTTACCATTTGAAGATAGGAAGTGATGAGGTGACATCATAAAAAATAGTCCTTTATATATATATATATATATATTACAGTTTTTTTGCCACTTATAATATTAATAAAAATTATATCATTTTCTTTAAATTTATAACCTGGAAATATAACCTTTAATTAATATTAATAATCAAATTATACCCCTAATTTTTTTACTGTGAAAAAAATTTACAAACAAAAATAACATGTAAAATAGCTTATTGTATTCGTTGGTTTAAAATCTAACTTCAAGTCAAACTAATCTCTAGCATTTTCATATGAGGATCGTATAGGTCAAGTGAGTGATCACCAAGATACATTTTCAGAGTAGATGTTCACGAATGTCTCTGTAAACAAAGATAAAGAAAAAACATTCCTAAATTTAGTATCATCAGTATGATGACGCTGTGTGATTTAGTAAAACATTTTTATAAATTTATCATCATATTGAAAGTTTTTATATTTGTGTTAAAGATGCATACTTCCTTCGATTTGGTTGATTTAATGTAACTCGATTAAATAAAAAATGAAAAAAAAAGCTTTAAGTATTTTGTCAATTGTTTGTATTTTGTTTATTGATTAAAACAATATACAGTATATTGCAATGTAACGAAAAGCAACGCACCAAAAAAAAAATGTAACGAAAAGCAAATTAATAAATATTTCTAAATTACTACAAAATAGGTTTTAATAAAATTACTTCTAGGCTTATAAATTAGAATTACTGAATTAGGTTAATGAAAGGTAAATTTTTATAAAATTATTTATGAATTCTTACTAAATTTTACGAATTTTTTTCTAAATTGAAAGGTATGATAATTTTAGAAAACTAGAAATAAATAGTAGTATTATCAAAAAAAAATCTCATAATAATAATTTTAATAGACTATAATTGATATATAGATAAAAATATCAATACATTTTGATCATTTGGTATGGTACACCGTACACCTAACCATAGCTAATGTATGCAAAGAATTTTATGTTTTCACAAAAATATATTAGAACCCAATGTATATCTAAGGGAAATGAATTCCATTCCAAAATTATATATGGTATGATGCATTGTCAACAAAAAAAAATTAGGAATTATTATTTTCCTTTTACAATTGGGGAATAAAAGAAAAGAAGGTAACTAGCCGTTGGATTTCGAATGCCTCCAAGCGCCGCTTGTTTGCTTTCCAACGTTCAAATAATATATTCTCCACTTTTCATTCAAAGCGACGTCGTTATATCCCTCTCAGACGCCGTTTTATAACTTCGTTCGATCTCGCTCTCTCTCTCTTTCTCTCTCTCTCTCTCTCTCTCTCACGTCAGAAGAAGGGAAGAAAGAAGAACGGATCTTTGTTTTCTCTGTCTTCTCCTACTTCTGATTAGAGTCGATTGAATTTCTTCTTACTCGAAATAAAGTAATCGAATTTGAGCGTGTTCGATTTCCTGAGAACAATTCGATTTTCGTTTTTTGGTCCGACTGTTAGAAAAGGAAAGTGATGGCGGCCGTTAATGGGTACCAGGGAAATACTCCGGCAGATCCTCCGGCGACTGATGGACCGAAGCAACCTGCTCCTCCGAATAAGACTGTTGACAGCCAATCCGTTCTCAAAAGGTATCTTCTTTCCTTCCATCTTTTTCCCGATCTTGCTTGGAACATCTAAACTGGAGTCATCGTAAATCAAACGAAGCCTTCGTCGTTTTCTACAATCAATGGCTCACAGATTCGTTTTTCTTTGATCCATCCTTTCGTTTGATTTGTTAGTAGTTGGTGTTGTTACCCATGCTTTCGTATGATTAATGGCTCATAGATTCATATCCAGTTCTTGTGGTCGATGTACTTACGGATCCGAAAACAAAGTCGAAGACTTTTCCTAAAACTTTATGCATACAAACTGTTCGTCAGAATGTCTCTGACAAAACTAAACTCTTAAGATCTTTAGTACTTCCATCTACTCCACAATCCTCAAAAGCTTTGATTTTTACTCAGATTCCTAATCCAGATTCTCTTTACTTAAACGCAGGTTGCAATCTGAGTTAATGGGCTTGATGGTAAGCTATCAAAGTTTCTTTCTCTTGGTGCAAATAAGCAAATACTGAACCAGTTTTTGTAGTTTGAGTTGCTCATATGGCCTTGACTTTTTCAGATGGGCGGTGACCCGGGGATATCGGCTTTCCCAGAGGAAGACAACATATTCTGCTGGAAAGGGACAATAACAGGGAGCAAAGAGACAGTGTTCGAAGGAACTGAGTACAGGCTCTCGCTCTCCTTCTCCAATGACTATCCTTTCAAACCTCCAAAGATCAAGTTCGAGACATGTTGCTTCCATCCCAATGTTGATGTCTATGGCAATATCTGTTTGGACATTCTTCAGGTAATATATATACCTTCCCACTTGTATCTTGTGTGTTACACAAAATCGGAGAAGAAGTACCAAAACTTGATCCGTTTTTCACATTTTCGTTTCCAACAGGACAAATGGTCATCTGCTTACGATGTGAGGACAATACTACTGTCTATTCAGAGCCTTCTGGGAGGTAATCTATAACCTTTTGGTTTGTATAACCTTTTGATATCCTGTAAGCCCTTTGGCTGGTTAATCCAATATCTGAGTGTGTGTTCATTACGTCTTTGCGTTGATCAGAACCGAACATCAGCTCACCATTGAACACTCAAGCAGCTCAGCTCTGGAGCAACCAAGAAGGTACAAAAAAAATGCAGATAATGATTTCACATTCATAGTCTAAGTCCCTCCACTATGATTTTCTTATGTCTCTTTTGTTTCCCTTTGCAGAGTATAGGAAGATGGTTTTGAAGCTCTACAAGTCTCCCAGTGCATGATTTCTTCAAGCTGTCTCCACTCCAATTGATACCCTCACAGAAAATGAATTCCTAGAAGAAACACATTGATTGTGTCACTCATTTGCTTTATTCTTTGTTTTTTGAGCATCAGAAAACATCAAAAGTTCTCTCTGTATTACCTTGAGTTTTGACATGAGCCAAATAATGACATCATATGAAGAGCGAGTTTTTTCAGAGATTAATCAGAGTTTATACAAGTAATCTTGAGATGAGTTGGGTTTCCTTGCGTTTGATCATCTTCACTACTAACTCTTTCTTACCCTCAAACTGATCCACCCACTTATTTAACTTCTTCACCTCCTTTTCATCTTTGGGACGAGGTGGCTTTCCTTTTCCAAGCAATTTTATCTCCTCTGCAATGCTTCGAATCTGTTCTGCTTGGTGCCTCATTTGGACATTAAGTGCTGCCATTTTGAGTAGAAACCCTAGTCAGAGTGTCTAGGGTGCGGATGATATCTTCGACATCACTAGCAATGTTCCAACAGAGTTTGAAGTCTCTGGTTCCATAATCATAACTGTTCTTTTTGACAAAGATTTCATTCACAAGTTCCAAGCAAAGCTTGAACTTCTCCTGCGACACAAACAAAACAAATGTTTCACATATAAACTTCACACCAAAACGTTCTTCTGAAAATTTACCTTGTCTACGATACAACCAAGGCACTTCACTTTCTCCTCGAATGTCTCAGAATACTCTGGATATTGATTGGATGCCAATGCAGTCACTGCAGATGCCTGATATGACAGACGGCGTGTAATCACAGAATCTGAAATCTACAGCAAAAGAAAACAAAAACAGACATAAAGCACATGAGAAACTCATGACAAACGACACCTGCTCACTCAAGAAAATATTCTTACCATCTTGTAGTTGCAAAATGATTATGGTTATACATTCTTTTCCTCCCCGAACCTCGCACTGTCCTTTAATTCCACTCAGAAAATACCCCATGAAGCGAAGAGGCGTTACTAGATTTATCCTTAACCTTTTGAGTTCAGAGCACGCGCATAACTTCATGACTGCATACAAATCGTCAGAGTATAGACCCGCAAAGGGACAGGTCATAACGAAGAAGACAGATGTTTGGTGTCTCGGTGTGTTGATTTTAGAGGTTTTGACAGGGAGATTCGCTGAGAATTACTTAACGCAAGTCTATGATCCAAACATGAGTCTTGAGACCTGGGTCAGTGATATAGTTAAGGAGAAGAAAACAGGTGACGTGTTTGACAAGGAAATGAAAGGGAAGAAGAAGAATTGTAAAGCTGAGATGTTGTGAATAAGAATAAGAGAGGAGGATGGAGATGACAGAAGCTGTGGAGATGATTGATATGTTGAGAGAAGGCGAATTTAATGCTGATTTTGGTTCTATAGATCATCGGGAGGGAGTAATAATTTATATTCTTCCATGTTGTTGGACGAGGATGACTTTGGTTTCTCGATGAATCAATGAGTTTTGGGATTTTCGATTATTTTTAGGAATATTAAAAAATGTATAAAACGAAAGAAGAACATGTGATGTGATAGGGTTTTTTTCTTTCTACGGTTAATGCAGATAAGAAAAATGTATGAGCAATTAATAAACTATAATAAGTCTATAACACATGTATATATTATGTATCTGTATCAGTGTCACAATCATCATCAGCTTTAGTTCTTAATCCCAACCGTCTTTAATCCCAACCGTCCTGTTTGAGTTCTTTTTTTCAACTTTATATTTCACTAGGTGATGACCTGCGTGTACACGCGGGTTTTATATTCTTTGATATATTTTTAGATTTTTAATTAATATAACATTTTATTTTAAATATAGTTTTGGATTTGTTAACTATGTAAATATATAAATATTATCTGAATAAATTTGTACACTCTTTACTTATAATGTTTAAATATTATTTTTTGCTAAAGTTTTTGTTCTTAAATTTATTTGTCTTAAGTTATATAAATAGAAAGAACTTTATTCATTTTTAAGGAAATTGTATATTGAAAACAAATAACTTAATTTTATTTTCTTCTAAATTTTACATTTTTATCATTAGTAGTTTGTATATAATTCTATATTTTTAATTTTCTGTATATTATTTAATTTTTATATTATTATTTTCTAAAATTTGATTTGAATTTTGTGTTTTTTGTTTAACATGTACACATATGTCTGGCCATAATCACAAGTTCATAAAATGCAAGGGATCATTGAGATAGAATAGTTAAAGTGTGAGAAGTGATGTTATGAATAACCATTCAGATTGTCGGTCATATTGTAGATCGCATGTTCTTGGTATTTATTTTGGCATTTTTTTTACTTATTAAGATTTTTATTAATCAGAATATTTATGTGAACTTGCTCACATTGTTTTAGGATTAGAAAACTAACAAAATAAGTAATACATGATTAATTTATTTCTGTCATTCGAAAACATAGTAAAAGACTTTGTTTTTGAAAGTTTAATGTCCTAAGAATTATGAACATTTACATTAATAAAAATTTTAATATTTTAATACGCCAAAACTCGAAGACTACTATAATAATAAAATAAAATTTGTGTAGGCATAAAATATAATGGCCAGTAAGTTTTGAAAGGTACAAAACTCGGTAGTATTTAAACTGGATGATCGTTTTATCTCATTCTTCCTAGTTTGTTGCTTCTACTGTTCCACTTATTGTCGAGTTCCTTTATTGTTATCATCATCTGGGTTTGATTAATTAAGTTAGAAGCATTATAAAAAGTTGGAATAAATAACCAATTGTTCTCTTGAAAGATAATAACTATGTAATAATTTCTTTCGCCGAAGAACCAAAAGACATATCCTAAAAATTTACTATGTCACAGTGATCCACAATCACTGAGAAAGACGTATACTCTTTAGTCTACTTGGTATCTTTCTTCACTTTTGCCATCAAAAAGATCAAGATCGTCATCATCATCACCATCAGCTCCAGCAGTAGCACGTGCCTGCAGTTAAGTTTATGGAAACATCCAAACTAAAGCATCTAAGATCAGCAACATAATAAAACGTCGAACAAACAATATTCTTAGAGCAAAATCTTTATCATTCCAAAAAGCAGATCATTGCATATTCATTCCTCTACATAATAATATCTGTCCTCAATATATCAAAGAAGCAATCGCACAGCTCATTATTTTTGGAAGAACAATTCAAGTAAAATATTAAACAAGGACTGCAGAGATTTATAAGAACCTTTTAGCTAGTTGGGAAGCAACAAAATCGTACCTCTTGATAACATTGGGGAAGGCATAGCCAGGTTTCTCTAATACGGCAGTGTAAACCTTCACAGAAATAGATAAACTACAAATAAATTCAAAATCTGAAAAGGTCAAAGAGGTAAACGTAATTACAAACCAAGCCAATGAAAAGATTAAAAAGATACGGAAGAAAAGAGATGCAAGCTTACCCAGATATGTAAGTTTCTCTGGAGAGGTGTTCCTCAATATTTTGAGACCCTGCTCTGAGATCTGAAAAAGTAATCGCCATATTTAGTAAACTTTTTTTTTGCAGAGAGAAAGAAGCGTAACGATTATCACTGATGGTTTAATCTTTATCGGCACAATGTTTTTGGGTCTTTCAACCAACCACAACTTGAAATCAAATTGCGTTTACCTATAAAAAAATAAAAAGCTCTCCATTGTCTTTTCTAATTTTAAGTAATGCTCTGTGTAACTCTTAACTTTATAAACAGTTTTGTTCTTAGTAATATTAAGAGATAATCGACTATTGTTTGTGTCCAAATATTATTCTAGCAACATTCTCAACAATATATCACTGACACTCACACAAGAAGAATCAATCGTGAATCAATCTTCAACTTTATCACAAACCTCAGACTAAATTATTATGATTATATAGATAGTAAAGGAATATAATCAACTATCAAGTCCTCATCAAATGATCATAACAAATGTCAAATCATTTAAAGAGAGTAAAAAATCATTTAATTTAATATCAGGTATGTCGAATTATCCAATATTTTCTAGAATTGATGCTGAGTTTTAAAGACGAAAGCTAAAAAATAGATTTAGATATCTACAGATGAAAACAAAATTTAATCAGCATATTTTCCTCTCTTACCACAATGACAATCCAAGTTGGTTCTTCTGTTAGTTCTGTTACTCTGTTTGCAACAGTATTTTCTTCTCCCATGAACTAATTCAAATTCAAAATTCTCATATGGTCAGTGCAAGGGCAAAGATCTAACAGCAGATTTCAAAAGAAGAAGTAATCACTTTGTGACTGGGGAAAAGCTGCTTGAGATGATTAAACACGAGTTCTTCACATCCTTTATCAAGTCTCCGTCACAAAATCCACCTAATAGCAGCAAATTCATGAGCTAGATCAACAGGCCAACTTGTTTAAAGAAACCAAAAATTGACAGAAATTGGATGAGTACAAGTAACAATCAAAGCCATCCCTATTTTGTGATTGTATGAGACAAGATCAAGAAGAAATATTGTAATGAAAAAGTAAGAGCGCAGGAAACAAAACAAAAACCTGGCCTTTGTGTTCAACATCAAAAACCCGCAAAGCTGGCACTGGTTTCTCCCACATCGGGATATCTTCGAAGAAGTTCCGGAGCCACTCGGCTTCTTCTGTTTTTTGTCTAAAGCTATGAACTCTGATTCCATGGTTGATCTCCCCAGGAGTGTTTGTTTGGAAGAATAACAGGATACCACAGCTCCACCAAGAGTAAACACATAAACATTTGTAGAGTTAGAATTTCTAGAATCTGAAATCCAGTTTGCATTACTGTACCCTTCTAACACTGATGGTTCTCTATCATAATGCAAAACTCTACCATAATGCAGTCCATGCTTTATAGTATTTCTCAGATAACTCAAAACTCTTGTTATGGCTTTCCAATGAGTGTGACTTAGATTGCTCGTATATCGACTTAGTAAGTTTATTAAATGCGCTAAGCTGGTCTTTTACGAAATGACCTGCAGAATGAAAACTAAAGGATCCAGATTAATTATGATTACTTTACTCCATCCAGATTAATTATGATTAGTTTACTCCATCGATCAAGCTCAAGGGCATATTGAGAAATAAAAGAGAGAGAGAGAGAGTCATGTCCAGCTTTTTGTGCGGCATCAACGGGGGCAGCCAAGAACTGATCTAGAGAACCTTCATCAATTGTCGCCCAACAAAAAAAGATTGAGAAAACAGGGAAATCAAAAAGAAGCAATGACATGAACAAGTTAGCAGAGATTTAACGTGTCTTTACCATTATCCGCCATTACCAATGAAAAAAGGTCGAGGAAAGACGAAAAGAGTGACGCTTTGTTGCTGGGTGATTCTGTGAACGAAGAAAAAGTTTGCAGTTTTATATGTTTCGGTAGAATCAGAATCGCAATAGATAGATTTTCAATAGCACAAAAACGCGGAAAGAATTTATCAAATTTCTCGATGGCGAAGAAGATTCGAGAGGTCAAACTTTGTAGAACGATGCGAAGTCAGGCGCTTGTGTAGTTGCTGTGAAGGCATGAAACTGCCGCCGGCGAAAGCGGTGTTGCCGTCAAACTTGCTCTCTGATCGATTCCTCTTTGCTCATCGTCTCCTCCTTCATCTCTCTTTCTCAATTTTGTAGGACATCTAGTACAACTATTTTGGATTTCAAGTAAACAAATTTTTCATAGGAAATATAAGAATGATTGAATTGTGTGGTATAACGCTTCGGGATAAAGTTTTTCTGTTTGACTGAAATAATTAGTGATTTTACCGAATTATTTATTTTCTTTTTGTTTGCTGATATGTCAGGGAGAGGTGTGCTGAGGTGTCATCTCCTTGTGAGACACAACTTAGTCTTTATATAATAGATTGTCGTCATGTTTTAAGTGTAGACCTTCTTTGTTTGGTATGGTTTTAACTGGTGACTGAATGAGAAAAAACACTCATTTTTTATCATTTCTTATAAATTACACCATTTAAAAAATATATATGGTACCGATGATGTTAATATATTCTCCATCAAAATTAAGAATAAACAATAATTCTTATTATTTTATTTATTTCATTCATTTTCCTATTTATTCATATTGTTAATTTAATAATTACCAGTTAAAGCCATAATCAGCATCAGCTTTAATGCTTGTTCTTTGGTAGTAGCTTTGGGGGAGTGTTGTTTCCTTATAGATTTTTATACAATTGTATTTGAGAAAAAAAAATCATTTGGAGAGAAAGAGAGAGATTTCTCATGAAGTTAGATTTTTTAAAGCTAATTATTTTCTTTTATTTTTCATTGAAGTATAGAGAAAATACTTTTAAGAAAATATAAGTAGCCAAAAATGAAAACAGAGTCAAACATCAAATTATTAAGGGATCATTTAAAGAAATTTGTTGTAATTCAGTAAGAATTTTTTTTCTTTCAAGTAGTTGGCCTCTTACCTTGTAAGTAGATCCGCCTTTGTTGTAATAGTTGTTGTTGTTATAAACCAAAATTGGTCAGATGAATAATAAAGCTGATTCACTCTTTTCAATTAGTACAAGCTTAGCACATTATTGTCAATGCAATTTTCTTAGTTTAATGATCTTGTTATTGTTATTTTGCAAGTTTATTTAAATTGGTGAAAAATTTTTATTAGAAAGAAACGTTTTTATGAGACTATAAGAGAAAACCTCTCTAAAGAACCTATCACATCGAGAATTCCAATTTTTCATTGTTACTCTTTGCTCACTGGAACCGTAAGTCCAATAGTTGCTCACACCATTTCCGAGTACAACTTCAATCTTGCTCACAGCATCATTGACACACCATTGTTTGAGGTACTTGATGTTTTTGTACGCTTAGCCTGTCACAACATTACCAACAAACAGGTAAGATAAGGTGTTTTTACCAAAAATTGGCCTATTTATGTCTCCAAATAACTTTTTTGCCTCTGCTTCAAAGTCTAATGACCATAAATTAAAAGACAATGTTATCTTGTATGCAATTAGAATGCAGCAAACGATCAGAAACTCAACATCTTCCATGGTTGTGCCTCCCTGATCCTGTAGTCAATTGGAAAGAACTTTTACAACAACAAAAAACAGTGAATATACAGCTGAGAGAAGTGAAAGAATTAGCATTACTATGAATCCTTCTATGGAGGTGTATCGATCAAAATAATTCAGAATTAGTATTATTATGAATCCTTAAATTTAGTACTTATTATTGTTTACTCATCAACGAGAGAAGAAGTGTAAAAAAAAAGATTTATTTTTCATGAAGAACAAAGTCATTACAATCTTATATACATGTTGACTAATAAACCGGATCTAATTAGATTATTAAACTGGATATTCCATAGCTCTTAACCAAGTATTATGTACAGCAATATAAACCGTATAGCTAATAGTCTCCTTCAAAATGGAGATGCAAAGATTTTGTTGACACCCATCTTGCAAATGAGCTCTCGGTAAGGAGCTGAATGTAGAGTTTTGGTGAGAGTTTCAGCCAATTAATGGCCTGATTTGACGAACATGGTCTTGAGAAAACCACAATCAATCGCCTTACAGGTTTTGTAGGAGTCAATCTCAATGTGCTTTGTTCTCTCATGAAACACAGAATTGTTAACAATGTGTAAAGCAGCTGTATTGTCACAGTAAAGGTAAGCAGGAGGTTGAAATGGATTCTTCAAATTCACAAGTAAACGAGATAACCAGATCATCTCCTTTTCTGCAATCAACTTTCTATAGGAAGACGGATCCAACAAAGGAACACTAGTATCCTTAGAAAACATAACACTTGGATCCATAGGAATACTAGACAGCTTGCTTCCAAAAAAACCAGTGCTAGCTAGTAACTCCAAAATGTATTTCAGTTGGCAAACTGAGATACCTGCAGCAGAACGAGTAATCTTCAATCTAAGAAAATATTTTGCTTCACCCTGAACTTAGACTTTAACTCGCCTTTAAGATCAGTCATAACAAGATCACTATTGTTAGAGGAGAGTTTAAGAAACCAATGTCTTAAAATTTTCTAATTCCATAGATTGATTTGTGAAGTCTGCATACAGTGTTGGGTGGTAATCACTCTATAGATCGACATAGCGAGGGGGAATCTTCATATAAATCTCCTCATCGAGGTCACCATTCATTAGAAATATCAAGTTAACTCACAATCCAGTTTATCTTGGCTGCAGACAAAAGAACCATACGAACCGATGTTTGCTTGGCAACAAGAGAGAAGGTTTCTTCATAACCCTAACCCTCTTGTTGTGTGAATCCTTTAGCAACCAGCCGAGCTTTATATCTCTCAATGCTTTCATCAGCATTATACTTGATCGTAAAGACCCATTTGCAACAATAGTTTTCTTATTAGGCGGTAAAATAGTAACACTCCAAGTATGAGTTTGTAACACAGCACCAATTTCTACTCTCGCAATATCACACCACACCTCAAAATTCTTGGTTTTTGAATACTTTTCTGGGACAAATGTATTTGTAATAGTGTTTATGAAGGCACGGAAAAGCTTTGACAGATTTGAATTAGAGATATAGTTGACAATCAGATATATAATAGTACTATTAATATTATAACAATGAAAGTCCTGCAAGTGTTTAGGAGAATTTTTTTTTCTATGAGATTTAGATTCGAAAGTGATGAGGACATTAGTACCAAGCCAACTAGACCAGAAGAGAGCAGCTGTACAAAAGCAAAACTGGAGCATATTGTACTCGTATGTGAGGATCAAGAAGAATTTGTAGCCGAATACCATTGTAATAAAGACTCAAAGATCAAAACCAGAGGATACAAAGTACCAAGAGGGACAGTTTAATCAAGTCAACTCATGGCTGGTTCAATTTAAAATGCAAGAAGATCGAGGTAAACCACCAAAGCCATTCATTCGCATATATGGACCGACTAATGCATTCTCAAGTCCATATAAGGAAACCATGAGCAACAATACATTTTATTTGCCTCCCTTGACAACCACAGAAGCTTCCAAAAGTCTTGAACCATCTGATCAAGCCAATAACCATACTAAACCGCACCAAACCGAAGAAGATATCACCATGAAGAAGAAGGTTTCCTTTTCTGATCACATTAACTTTGTTGCAAAGGGAAACTATGATCAACAACCACATTATCTTGTCAATCTCGACCCTCCATTCAAGATAAAAGATCCTGAACGTCCATACCATGCTGAAGATTCAAGGATTCGTACCTTGTGTTTTTGAGCATCACAAGTTCTCTGTTACCTTGTGTTTTTGACTTGAGCTAAATAACGACATAATGTGAAGAGCGAGTATTTCAGAGATTAATTAGAGAGAAGGAGGTAGATTATTCTTATTCATTTGAAAAATAAACACACTCAAATTCGTAGTACAATCGGCACTTTTTTATTGCTGAAGTAAAGAGAAATGATGGTGAGTGAGTAAAGCTTCAAGCTTTGACTGATCTATCCAAAATTAAGAAAGCCCACGAACTTTTCCAGTGACAGTGTCGATGTCAATTTCATAGAAGCAAGGTCTTGTAGGAAGTCCAGGCATCGTACTCATTGTACCGACCAACGGATATATGAAACCAGCTCCAATGCTTCCTCTTACATCCCTTATCGGCAACACAAACCCTGATGGTGCTCCTTTCTTCGATGCATCGTGCGAGAACGAGTACTGTGTCTTCGACATGCAAATTGGAAGATTGGAGAAGCCTTGTTGAGTGTACATCTCAATCTGTTTTTCAGCCTGCATTCACATTTTCACAAGAGAGAGATAAAAAAGGTGTTTTTTATAACAATGTTTGGACTATGCAACCAAATTGAAACAGCAGTTCGGTCTAGAAAAAAATCACCTGGTCTGAGTATTCCACACCACTGGCTCCATAGGACTTAGCTATAGCCTCAATCTTATCTTTGATGCTGATATCCAATGGATAGAGAAACCTAAGTGGCTGCGTAACGTTTTGACAAGCTTTTTCAACAGCGATACCAAGATCCACCTACAACATTCACAAGACAATTCATCTTTCAACACATTGTAGACTCTTTTATGCATATAACCGCAAAGTGTCAAGCTTTCGAAGAGAAAAGATTATATTACCGCTCCTTTGCCAGCATGAGCATGGTGGGAACAGATCACAGCATCAAAAGCACCAGCATCCATTGAAAACTTCCTAACTGCATTTAGTTCTGCTTCGGTATCCGTTGAGAACATATTCACAGCAACAACTACGTTCACACCGTAAGCCTTTGTGTTTGAGATATGCTTCGCTAGATTCACACATCCAGCTTCAACCAAGGAAACATTCTCGCTCACGTAGGCACGATCAAGAGGCCTCCCGGCAACAACATCAGGCCCACCACCATGCATTTTCAAGGCCCTAACAGTGGCCACAACAATCGCACACTGAGGCGTTAGCCCGCTGTAACGGCACTTGATGTTCATGAACTTCTCTGTCCCAATGTCAGAACCAAAACCAGCTTCTGTCACCACAAACCCACCAGGTCCCACGAGCTTCAAAGCGATTTTGTCCGCAACGATAGATGAGTTTCCATGAGCTATGTTTGCAAAAGGACCAGCATGAACTAGGACAGGTGTCCCTTCAAGTGTCTGCATGAGCGTTGGGTTAATAGCGTCTTTCATTAGAACAGTCAAGGCTCCTCCAACACCAAGATCATCCGCTGTTATCGGATCCCCTGCTTTACTGTTACCAATCACCATCTTACCAAGCCTCTCTCTCATATCACCAAGTGAGGTTGTCAAAGCCAAAACAGCCATAATCTCACTAGCAACAGAAATGTCAAACCCAGTCTCTCTAGTCATCCCTTTCTCCTCAGGTCCCTGACCAACAGTAATCTTCCTCAAGAACCGATCATTAACATCCATCACTCTCCTCCACGTGATAGAATCAGGATCAATATCAAGCCTAGCAAATTTCTTCACCTCCTCAGGGGTAAGCTCCTCAGGACTGGTCTTGGAGATCCCAAGCTTGTTCAACCGCCTAAACATAATGTCGCTGAAGCTACGCTTCCCTTCTTTATTCGGAGGGCAAAGCCTGTTGAAGAGAGCCTTGTCGGACTGAGACGCCTCGTGGAAAATCCGAGTGTCGATCGCAGCAGCTAAGAGATTGTTGGAAGCCGTAATGGCGTGAATGTCTCCGGTGAGATGAAGGTTGAACTCATCCATAGGGATCACCTGACTATACCCACCACCAGCTGCACCTCCTTTGATTCCAAAGGTTGGTCCTTGTGATGGTTGGCGAAGACAAGTGACAACCTGAAAGCAATAACACTCGGATCAATCAAATACAAAGAGAAAAAGTTTATAACAAAAATCAAGCGTAAGAGAGGAAAAAATGTAAACCTTCTTATCGAGGTAAGCGCCTAAGGCTTGGCAAAGTCCAACAGTGGTTGTTGATTTGCCTTCCCCAAGAGGAGTTGGAGTAATCCCTCCAACAACTACATAGTAGCCATCTTCTTGTCCTTGAAGCTCATCAAACGCAGATAACAACACCTAAACAAAAAGATCATCAGTTAAACATAGCTTCTTCATGTTTTTGGAGGTTAAAAATCGATTTTATCTATAAGAGAGCTAATGCTAGAAACAGAGGTTATCATCTTTGAGCTTATGCAATAAAAGAGGTGACTTTTCTCTCGAAAAAACCCCCAAAAAATGATGTTTTGAACAACCATGATCGAAACTAATTCGAACAAATGATATCAAAGTGGCCAAAACAGAGTTATCTCAGATCCTTGTTTCATGGAATCTCTCAGAAAGATAACCAAAGACAGAGGAGGCAAAACGAAACAAAAAGGGGAGAAAATACCTTTGCTTTGTATTTTCCATAGAGATCGTAGTGAAGTGGGCTGAGATTGAGATCTTTGGCAATCTCGGCGATGTGTAAAGGCTCGACGGAATTAGCGATGTCGATATCGGCGGGAACTGGCGATGAAACCTGAAGCTTTCTTGATGAGCTCATCGTTCTCGCTGCTCTCTAGACTGATGAAAGTGGAAAAAAGTCTTCCCTTTTAGCTTTGGAGGATGAGGATATGGAAGATGAAGATGATTTGATGATGTGTTTTTGTTTCTGTCCTTTTTACACCCTTTAATAATTCAAAAAGTATTATAAATAATTGTTGGCTACAAAATGACGGTTTCGTCCTTAATCTATAAGCGCAGCCAACTAGCAAAGGCCCCACCATTGGTGTTCACACTTATAAAAATATTCATGCACCCGATCGATTCGGTATCTAAACTTTAGATATCCTCTTATTGAACTTGAAATTTGAAATCAACTCCTGAAATTTCTGGGATCGTTTCAAATGATTGGAGTCTTGTCTTGTGCTTGTCTTCATTTTCATGTTATCATGTATATGTTTCAAGAGGTAAAACATTTTCAGGAGTTTAATCTTCCTGGCAATACAAATGAGTATAGTTGATCAATACTTAAATTCAAATAATTTTTTTTTTTTTTTTTGCAGAAAATATAATTACTTGTAAAATGTTGACATAAAAAATTTCATTATTTCACAATTTATTGTAAGAATAAACTATTATAGTAAAAAATAAAAGTTAGATCCAAATAATTTTTTTTCTATAGTTTTGAGTAATATAACTACTTTTAAAAAAACACAAATTACAGTTATCATAAAAAAATGTAACTATTTATAATCAAAAGATGCAACTATTTATAATGAAAAAATGCAATCACAAATTTTGAAACAACATAATTTATGAAAATGCTAGTAGCATTTATTATGATTGTTATTATAGATAAATTAAAAGTAGAGGGAAAAATATGTCTCTTTTTGATTCACAAATTATTTTGTTACAACTTTTAGATACAAATATTATATTGTTATTAGACACAAATTAAAGACAATTTAAAATTTATTGCAAACAATCAAATTAGTCACAATTAGTTAGAAATTTGCTACAAGTGAAAAACCAATTTGAGCAAATGAAACCAAAATACAGAGAACCTCTATAAATTAATACTTGATTAATTAATAATCACTATAAATTAATAATTTTTGTCGGTCTCAAGTCGGGTCAGTGTAAAAATTAACAAATTTCGATAAGATAATAATTATTTTGAAACTCCTTTATAAAAATATAGTCTCAATAATTAGATAATTAATAATTATACATTCAAGTATATATAAATAATATAATATAATAAAATATAATTATCTTATTGTTTCAAGTTTATAAAAATTATTTGACTTGTTTTTCAAATTCACTGAAATGATATTTTCTGAATAAATTTTACATTGTTGAAAATATTTTGTTTTATTTTTTGACAAATATTTTGAATTTGAACTGAAATATCTCTTTATAAATTAATAAAATATTAATTTCTCAATAAAATTTATCGATTAATTAATAACTTTATAAATTAATAATTTTTTGAAATCCAACATTGTTAATTTGCAGAGGTTTTACTGTAGCCGAAACAGAGCTCTCATACTTGTTCAATCGAATCTCTCAAGCTCATCAGAAGAATCCCGAAACTTGCAAACGAAAACAACAATCGTTTAAAATCCGACCCAATAAAAGGTTAACTTCATGGCCCAATAAAATCCAACCCGCCTAGCAACGGCCCGATCCGAAACACCTTCCCTTTTATCTCTCTCTCGAAAACCTTCCAGAAGCCGCCGTAGTCGCCGTTTTCCTTCTTCACCGTCCATCATCGCCGTCTTGTTTGCTTGCTCATAAACTGTCTAAAACCCAGAGTACTCTTTACAATTTCTCCCATCTCTCCTTTTTCCTCCGTCAAAATCTTAAAAATCTGCTGCCGGAGTTTCCTCAGCAGCTTTCAGAAAGGAGCTAATTTGAGCTGATTGTGGTGGTTTTACGAAGCTGAAGAAGATAAACAAATGGCTCGCTCCAAAGCTCCTGCAAAGAAGCATCAAATTGATTTCAAGGTTCATTGATTTTGGGGTTTTAACATCGTCTCTTTTCTTACGAATCTTAAAATTATTTAATTGTTCGGTTGGTTTTCTATGTTGCAGAAAATCAAGAGAAAGCTCGGGAGAAAACTACCTCCACCAAAGAATGCAACTAACACAGAGATTAAATCCAAATGTACATACATATCTGCTTTCTCCTGCAAATTCAAACTTTTAGTTTCTTCCCCTTGACCCTTGTTAGCTCAATTTTTGCCTATTTGCAGCAATTATACTTCCTGAGCAAATTGCGGTAGCAGAAAAGAGTGGCTTTGCTACAAGTAAGAAAAACTTGACCTTGAAGGAGCTTCTAGGTAAAAGTATTCATCACAATGCTAAAGCTCGCAAAGGTACGTTCCTTTCTTTGTTCTCATGTTTAGTTAGATGTTTTTGGTTGAGGAATATATGATCAATTTTGGTTTTGTGTCTGTAGATGTATTACTTGGTATCAAAGAACTTTTCAAGAGTCATCCTGCAGAGCTGCAGTCACATAAATATGATAGCGTAGAGACACTTAAACAACGCATTAGTGATGGTGACGAGAAAGTGAGAGAAGCTTTTTATGAACTATTTAAAACTCGGATCTTTCCTGCTTGTAAAGAGGTACGTCTTCTTTTCCCACTTGTGAATTTGGAGGTTTCTAGCCTCTTGCTCTTGTCAAACTCGCATGTATTGTAATAATTCCAGTTAAACAGCTGTTGTATCTAAACAGTTTGTGAATGTATTCAGGATAACCTTATGGTGTCACTTTTGATGCCATCCATGTTTCTGGCTATGGCTAATACATCGATCGATGTTCGTTTGATGGCTTTCAAATTTCTCCACCTTGTTGTTGAGTACTACCCGCCTACCTTTTCCTTGTATGCTGAAAAGGTGTGTCTACTTTGATTATTATTACAGAGTTCCAACTTTTACCTGTAGGAATAATGGGTTTCTTTTTTACACCTTGCATGAAATGTCCATCTGCTACATGATGCAGATTCTCGAAAACTACAAGGATATTATTATCCAGAGAAACCATGTTTATGTGCAAGATCAAAGCAATCTAAAGGCAGCACTTTCCGGGCTGACACTTTGCCTCTCGCTGTTGCCGCGTGATGAGAAAAAGGTATCTAAAATCATTTTCACCAAGTTGCATTAGCAATGTTTTTGGGTTTTGGTCTCTCGCTTGTTACAAGATTGAATATATTTTCTAAGAAGATGTCTTTGAACCACTGTGGGAATGTGCTCTGTTTTCTCTATTCAAAGCTGTTTCTTTGTGCCCTTTTGTAGGGACTTTTACAGAATGAAACGCTACTTGACTATGAGGAAGATACTGCAAAAGAAGTTGTTCGTATGTGCCATCTGTCTTCTTTTCCTCATCAATTAGTTATTGGTATGGCTCGTATCATCTTTTCTTGAATATATTTTCACGGGTTCTTATAGGTTTTGCCCATGTCTCTGGGAGATTGAAAGAGATCGTTGGAGCCTTGATCAATTGTTTCCAAGATTTCATTCCACTGATTCATGCTCCGCGAGGATTAGAAGCACGGTCATTAATTGATTGCGTACACCATATCCTTCGCAGCATATGTTATGCAATCAAGTTTTCTATTCGTAGCCACACTCAACGACAGACTGCATTTGAAGAAGTTGCTCTGTTAAAACTGGACCAGGACGTTGTATCAATGTTATCAAAAAAGTTACTTAGTTCTTTTCCCCTTAATCCCGGAAATAATCTTTCGAAAAGGGTAAGAATCATCACACCGCTAGATTAATAATAGCCTATGTTTAGTAGTAATTTTGTGGTTATCTTTATTATTCTCCCTGCCATTGTTTGTTTGTATTCTCCCTAATGATTATGTGTTATGCTTTGTTTATTATTATTATTATTACAGAGACCTTGCTAAGCACTTAGTTGATTGATTTGTTGACAGAATGATGAAAGCTACTTTATCCTCAACGGTGTACTGACAGAAATCTTTTTGGAAGTAAGTGAATGGAGCCACCTTCCTTGTGATTTTTCCTATAGATTTCTGGAATTTATTGAGAATACCCTACTAGGCAAGGTTAGCTCTCGTTACTATAAAACTCAAGCTGATTAGTTTTCATTGAATATTTTTGGATTGTTCCCTCCCTCTGTCTACATTGTATGCTGCTATTCCTTGCGAACATGTACTTTTGCAGATCACCAGGAGCATTAGTAAACCTATTCACGAAAAGACTTTACTTGCACTCGTGCCTTTTGTTCCAAAACTTACTTTGAGGGTGGAGCGTGATCGGAGAGATAATCTTATGCAGGTTCGTCTATACTTCATTAGTTCCTTTGTTAGCTAGCAGTAACTTCATGTATGTATGTATAAATGATTGTTTATATATATATATATTCAGGCGTTTACTGTTACCTTAAGCGATTGCAAACCAGAGTCTCCACTTAAATTAGCCTGCATTTCAACTGTTAGAGACCTTATCATCCCTGTAAGTACACTTTTCTCATGATATGCTCAGTTTAACTCTCCACGCACATAGATGAAATCTAAAATCTGTTTTCTTGTTATATCTGCAGAATGGAGATATCCTTTATGCCAATGATCCAACCGTAAATAACTACCAGCGTGCTTGGGTCAACCAGCTTCCAACACTGCTTAATCAGTTGGGTGATAAGCATCCAGTATCTACCCAGGTGCTAACCCATGACTCATACAATTCTACTCTCAATCCAGTAAAGATCCTTGGTGCATGGACCCATTTTTGATCAACTAGGCTCATGTTTACCGTTTTTGTAACTTTTATTAACCTTAAGGTTGTTTTGCAACTTTTGCTCGACCTTGGGAAAGTTGGGTGTCTGAAGAATGCTTCCTCCACATTTGAAGAAGACATCAGGAACTTCTTCAACCCTTATCAGGGAGAAAGTGCTGCAAAACAGAAAATCTGTGTTATGAAATTCTTTCTTAGTGTCACTAAAACTAAAAATCGGTTATCGTCATCTTTACAGGTGATGTGCCTGGTGGACCATTTGCGAGTCTCCCTAAGGAAGCCCAAGAACTGGCTCTCAGTTTCCTTTACTACTTCATCAAAGACAATTTCAGCTCCCCTATGCTGAAAGCAATGGTTTCATGCTGTTTATGTGAGTACATCTCACATTTCTTCCCTTTCCTGATGACTCAACTTATAAAAGTTGAATGACCTAAAAAAGGGTATCAACCGTATTTTGCAGATCAACAACTTGAACCAGATGTGTCGTATCGGATAGTGGAAGTTCTACACTCTGCCTATAGATATGGATACATCCCGATCACAGATCATCTTAGCTTCTTGATTACCTTAATTGCACGTTTCAGAGTTGTCCCAGGAGGTTCTTGTCTCGAATCTTCAAGTTTTTCAATGATCAATGCTTTGTGATAGCTTTTTTTACCTTATTATTATGGCTTTATGTTCATTGCAGAGCCGACGAGGCGAGAAACATTTAAAGCACTTACAAACCTTGTGTGCTCACGTTTGTCAGAAATGGGTGATAGCTCTCTTGTCCTCCAGACTCTAGAGAAAGCTTTTGTCGAACAAATAGTAAGTTTTTGTGGTTTTTGATAATTACACTTTACTGTCTAATGATACAAGGGCTCATATAGTTAATTAGGATGGCAAATACTTAATGGGTGCAGATTTTGAAGCCTGCTTTGGACAATGGGTGTGGCATACTCAGGATGATCTGCGAGCTGGACTCTAAACCTACCAGACTTTCTGAAAGCAGTGTGACCACTTTAAGTGAATTCTTACCGGGATATCTGATCGATATAGTCAATGTGAGCACTTACTTCCCGTTTCCTAAAATGTTTCATCTTTTAATCTTTTTGGGATTTGACACATGTCTTCTTGCCAGTGTATACCAGAAGATAAGGACAAGTCTTCTTACCTTTACATACAAACATGTCTCTACTATTTAGTACCTTGCTTTTTCCTGTTTGACCGGAGCTCCAAACTCACACGAGAGGTTCTGAAAAGAATGCGATTCATGATTAGTGAAAACTCCAAAGCGATGATGGAATCATCGGCCCAACAAGACAGGGGGAGCTGTCGAAACTCGTTGAATTTGATACAATGCATTGTCTCTGTGGTCCTGCTGATGCACAACGACGTCAAAGTTAGGAAGATAATATCACCATTCAAGTCAGAGATCGATTTGATTCTTCACAGCGTTATCTCGTTGCAGGTGATCATTTGATGAAAATTGCAGGAGAGCGACTTAGGATTGCATCTAATAGCTTAGTAGATTGTACTTCAACTGTGACAAGAGACTGATTTGTGCTCTCGGTTGCTAGAAAGATGCAATTTTTTGACAATTCTGTGTGACTATTATCCTTTGGTTTAGAGTTGAAGGGCCGTTTGGCTTATTTGTGTCACGAAAATGAATAGTCTTAACGACTTTGAGAATCAGACGTTGCAAAAAAAGAAAACTTACAATCCCAAACTTAAATGCAAAACATTGATGCGCTGCAATTCCAGAACGCCTAAAGTCATAAAATACGAAACAGAGAAAAAATGCAATAGAAAAAACATAGGCCTCTCTTCATAATAGAGATTTAAGCCTAATCACCCCCAAGCCCCATTCTCTCGCCTTCTGTTTCTCTCCACTTCAGCTTTGCTTGCAGCTTAGATCGTCTGACGTTGTTTCTTTAACCTCAACAACCTCAGAGCGGCGAACAACCTCAGACGATGATCTTCGTGAGCAGCGAAGTTCCTTCAAAAACATCAGATGTTCCACATGATCAACACTCAGCAACGCCCTCGGAGAGGCACCAACCCTGTCTGGTTCTATCATGCCATCAAACTCAGCATAACGAGTTGTCAGAACACCAGACATAGGGTTGAAGTAGTGGATGGTGTTCTTGTGCGTAAACTCAGGTGAGATCAGGATGAGCTCCCCCTTGGATGTGATCCCGCGTACCTCACATAGTTTCAACGATGCCCGAGTCGCATCATCCAGCCGAAAGTCCATCCGAGTCCATGTGGTGTTGTCCAGTGTGTACAGACATGGAACACCATCAATCGCATCATCCAACCCGAAGAAGGCAGAAGTTATACTTAACTTCCCGTCGTAAACAAATAGATAGTATGGTTTGACCATATTATCTGGCACAGAGCATACACGCTCAAGAGTAGAAGATGATGAGCTGAATTTGAATCGCATCAACTTGGCAGAATCCACAATGTAGAACCAGCCATTGAGGCAAGCTTGAGTCTCATAGGGACGTCCATCCCAACTGATCCCTTCACCAGTCAGAGTAAGCATCTCCCAGGCGGAGTCTCCTAAATGCATCGCTCTGGCTTCAATCAAACGTCCTTCCCTAGTTTCTTCTTGCCGATACCACAAACACAGGTACCTTTTGGTGTCGGCTTCATAGAACAGAAACACTTTTCCTTGGGGACAAACGAACATGTCTGTGGAAGGGATTTTGGGGAGTTTCAGAGTCTCTCTTGTGCTTGGATTGTAAACAATCCCACGGATAGAATCATCAATCAAAATCAGACCATGTGCATGCGCAATTGCCGGGTAGAGTACAAATCCCAAGTCGTATACACCAAGTCTGTATTTAGTCAGCTCCATATAGAAGGGTTGAAAACAGCTGCCGTATTTTAAGTTCCATTTTGCCAGATTTTCTTCCAAGATCCCATTCACTTCGTCGCCTCTGAAGGTGTAGAAACTGATGGTAGACTTATCTTCATTCCCAACAGTGTACAAGTATCCGCTGGTTTTCCTGAATTCGGGATCGCAAATCAAAGACTCCCATTCTTTGCAAGCTAGACGAAACCTGAGAAGAGTCTTGATAGGCAGCCTTGTGAGAATGGTGTTGAGAATCATGGATGGGATGGGGCTATCCTTCTTCATTGAGTACAGAGTGCTCCCAAGGTGTTGAGAGACACCATTGAGAAGCACAGGAACCATGCCATCGCTGACGCACCTGATGTGGGTGGCTCTTATGATAACAGCTTGGAGTTCAGGACTGGTTCCTAATGTGTACTCCTTTGGAAGATTCAAGTCCAGAAAATGTTGAAGTTCTTGAGTCATAACACCTGCCAGATATCAACCATTCCGTGAAAATGAAGACAATAAGAGGAAGCACCTAAGAGAAATAAATCAAGACAACTAGAGCTATAGACCAAGATCAACCATGAGGACAACCAGAAGACAAGAATCAATTGAAACGATCCCAGGAGTTCAATAAGAGAAGCCGAGATTCGATTCGCTTTCTAGCTGTAAACCTAACAGACATACATCAAATCACCCAATAAGTTGAAAATACCTTTAGTGATGGCGTTAGTTTGGTTGTACGAATCTGTCACAGACCTGTAGGGGCGAAGCGCCGTGACCTTGACAGCACGGCGAAAGCCATTGAGGTCGGAGACGAAGTTCCGGGCGACCTCAGCGGTTCCTCCGATCTGCTCGAGTCCGTTCACCTCTAAGAGGTAATAGCCATGAGACGCTCGGAAGAGAATACAGAGCCATTTTCTACAGGAGAGAAACTCAAACCCTAATGCACGCTTCGGAAGAGAAGATACAGAGCCATTTTCTAGTGTGAGCCAATACTTTAGATGCTGGTTCAACCAAATAGCAATTTTATACCCTTTTCTTTTAATAATATATTATGGTCATGTTTACAAAGTATCGTATAGTGCCGTTATTTTTGTGTACAGTATTTTGTCATTATGCCATATGTTTTTTTGCTATGCAGCAAATACTCATAGATGGATTTGAATATTATTCATTTTTGGAAAAAAAATTGATACAAAGCTGAGATAGAAAAAGCAAATCATCTTTATCAGCTAACCATACGATTTTATGTAGTAGTTTAAGATACAGTACAAGCAAAACAAAAAGAGAATATACTAAAAATCATAAAAATTTCATTTTATTTATCATCATCACTTTTACATTACAGTTTAATTAAATATTTTTCTTAAAATAAACCCAATACCTATTTTCCCATACACATCCTCATATAATATATAACCAGTTGTTGGCCAACGCAATGGCGCGGATATACAAATACAAATGATGTATTTTTTTATTTATCAAAATTATTTGACATAAATTTAAAAAGTAAAAAAAATATTTATAAAAACATATTGTAAAATAGCATTCAGTTAAAAATATACATAAAAGTTTTGACAACAGAAAATAAAATATACATTCGAGCAAGTTATATTAATATGCAACACACAAGACAAATAGCATTTTCAAAATATAAACAGAGTAATCGTAATCTCTTTCATAAGACTTGCATTAGATGATAAAGTTTATTGATCTCTTGAACCACACTTCACTGTTAAAACTTCTTCATCATATCGTTACTTATAATTAGATCCACAATATGACTAAAGTTATGATAGCTAATATAAGGATTTATCTTATATATAATAATATTATCTATCACGAAAACAATGAAGACAAAGACATGTCACTGTTTTTAACCATGTAAAGAAGTTGCACATATAAATTTAATAAAAAGAACAAAGTAATGGATATTTTAAAAAGATAAACTGACTTAAGAAAAGCTCTTTAAATTATTTTATGTAAACTACATACACGTTTAAAATAGATTGTTGCTGCATGATTATTACTTTGCTTTCTCCTAAACCCCCTCATTACCACATCATCATTATCCCTTGCTGCTACAGAAGAAACCTTAATCGTCACTTGTGCCTTTGTAAATCTCATACGTCTCTCTCCACAGTCACGTCCTCCTCCTCATTTTGCATATCGTTGATCAGCTCAGTTGAGGAGATTTTAGGCACCATTGTTGCAACCGGCTCTGGTTCGCAGAAGCAGATCGATAAATTAGCTGATCTTTTGTCGAGACTACAAAAGGTTTAAAACTATAAACCAATACAAAGAAACACACAAAGACTAAAAATCTTTCTAAAATACCGCAGACTCTTTAAAAATAAGAAAAAAAAACAAATTAACATAGAAATATAATATGCAAGAAAGCTCAAAAATACAATGTACGTACATACCAGCCAATTTGATGAGATAATTTCAAATTTCAAGTTCAATAAGAGGACTTCTTTCCCACCAAAAGGCTGTGCATACTGTCCAGCTTAGCCTTAACTTCAGCAATCTGATTCCCATCATTTAAACCAGCTTGTTTCATCCTCTGAAAATCTGCATTCTTGGTGCTGTTGCTACAGGCCAAGTTTTCAATCAGAGTTATTGCAGCTTCTGGAAGGTTGGTGTTGAAGTTCCCATTGCTAGCAGCATCTAGCACCATCTGATACTTCCAGTCAATGTCTCTCAAGAAGATACCAAGCGGCTGCAACTGGTTGAAACCATGATGAGGAGAGTCTCTTTGATAAGACTTGAATCTCAGCCGAGAAGCTTTAAAAGCTTCAGTAGGACTTTGGGAGAATGATGCAATTTTTGTCCTCAGGTCCTCTGATCTAGCATCATCATAGAAGTTGTTCAGAAAAGCATTCTTGGTATCCTTCCAAGTGGTCAGCGAACCAGGCTGTAGTTGCTTCAGCCAATAAGCAGCATCTCCTCTAAGTGAGTAAGGGAAAAGCTTACAGAACAGAAAGTCATAGCTAACTCCATTAGCTTTGACACTTGAAGCCAAATCCTCAAACCTCTCAATATGATCCATATGATGCTCATGAGGTAAGCCATGAAAAGGATGCTGTCCCACCAGCTGATAATAAGCAGGCTTGAGCTCAAAATCATTCCTCTGGAAAAGCAGGAGGGCGGATTGCAGCTCTGTTGGCATAGAACTGATCAGGTCTGTTGTAGTCCCCTAGAGTCCTCTGAACAAAACGCCCAGCAGAGTTGTTAGTAGCAGCAGGAGCTCCAGTGTCTTGTGCCACTAGTTGAACTGCTTGTTCAACTATGACATTCACCTCTTGATCCAATCTCTGCCCTTCTTCATTCCTCTTGTTTCCCTCTCTGTCAACCAAGTGAACTTCTGCATCTTCAACCAAGATCGGTGGAGCAACCATTGTAGACTGTTTCTTAGTTTTCCTGATGCTCCTCTCCAACTTAGCGAGTTCAACGATGCTCAAAGTCACAAGCTCCCTCTCTTTGTTGCTTCTGGTACTACGATTAGGCATACACTTGAAACCACCACAAAGAAAAGTAGCAGAAAGTTAGTAAATAAATTAAAACTTATACAAAATCCTAATACTAAAAAATCGATAGGCAGCTATTACTCCCTGGCAACGGCGCCAAAAACTTGATAGGGCTCAGGTTTTACCCAAATAAATACTACTGTAAGTGCACATCAAAGCAGTTGTAGTATAAGTGGTTATCGAATCCCAAGGGAGTAAATAAACTACACTATAGAATTTAAGTTCGGATTAAGCTAAGCGATCAGTAATGTATGTAATGCGAAATAGCTAAAACAATGAAAGCATGCGAAATTTGATTGATCTAAGACTCAGAAAACTAAAAGCACTAAATCAGACAGTTCACATGTTGAATCCGAGAATGTAGAATGCATGAAATTAAGAATGAATAAGAACCGTCTTGAACATGAATCGTAAATATATAACTAATCAATTTTCATTGCAGAAATTAACTATGTCTAAATCACAGAGTTTCAAATCTCTTTGCAAACCCTAACAACCTAAACATGCAGTAATAATCAGGTTCAATTGTTCACAAAACTCCTAAGCCAAATCTTTTTGCACTAAGTCCTTTTGCTCATCTAATGCTAGATCAGGTTATCAATAATGCTCTCACATCTATTGAACAACCTAGGTTTCGAATTTCCAGATGATGTGTATAATAAAATCAGTTTTAAAGCAAGCAGAGATGAAGAACCAAAAGATATTCCTAACAGATAGCGATTACTACAAAGACTCTACTAAGACTATAAAATGACCAAAAAGACTCAATTAAAAGGACTTATACCATGGTTAAAAACCATAAAAACCATAAAATATCATCCTCTCGGACTTATCCGGGGTTCGAGTCCGTGGCTCCACGGTGCTGCTAGCCTACCAGCTCTGAGCCTGACCACCGATGCTCTCCGCTATACCCTGCATACCCGGGACGGGTGCACTGCCCCCAATCCGGGTGACCGCTCTGGGAGCCGCGATTGGTAGGAGCGATATATCTTATGGACGGTGCCGCCGGAAGTCAACGTCCAGCTTACCTGCATACTGATGGGTAAGATTCTTCTACTACCGCTGCCCTTCTTTCCTTCGAGTTCGGTCCGTCGGTCATCTTCTTACTGCCGTCTCTTCTTCTCTTTTTCAGGCTCCAGGATGCTGGCCGCTTCCGAGCGGGTCAATCTACACCGCTTGCTTGGGATCTCTGAATGGTTCTGATCGTTCGACTTCCTGTTCTCTCCGCCGAGCTCGTTCTCCCGTCTGACATGACCCTGTACGTCTCAGGTAGTGCTGGTTCCTTGGCCTTTAGCTGTGAAGGATTATGCCCCTAACGGCTATCTGCCTCCAGCGAGATTTCTGCGGGCCGCGTGGAGGACGCCTGTCTAAACGCCGCGACAGAGGCCTCGAGCAGACTCTCCCGAGGGGGAAGCCTTGTCCCGATCTTCGCATCAATGGCGCTTGACCAGGTCTCAAGTGGTGAGGGCGACGGGGTCCCCGAAACCCTCTTCGTCCCTTCCCCTCACCACTCCTCTGGGTCGGCTTTAACTGCCAGTGGTGGGCTCCTGCAGATTCCGACGCACCAGAGTACCTGAGACCATCAAGAGATCAAGAGCCGCGCGCGCCGCTACTCTGGTCCCCAATGCTCCGGGCTCGCTAAAGGCGATGTGTGTTTCTTCGAAGTCGGAGCCGATGTTCGTGCCTCCTCATCTAACCGCCCGCTCGACACGCAAGTACACCGGCTGGCGGCTGACCACCTCGGAGCTCACCCAGTCGCTGGACGCAGTAAGCTAATTTCTCGGGACGTCTTCCTTTGCTTTTCTGGTTCTTTAGCTGTTTCTTACTGGTGCCTTTCACCTTTCGACAGAGTCAGTGCTCGCTCAAGAAGCTGGAGCACGAGCTTCACACGGCTGATCATCGCGAGCGCGGCCTTGCTGATAGGACTAGCGAGCTTCAGGTCGAGCTCTTCGCGACTCGATACCAGCTTGCCGAGGCCCAGACATCCACCCGGCGAGAGGATCTTAGCATGGAGATGGAGCGCCTGTCCTTGGCGCTTTCTGACAGCCAATGGGATCTGGAGGCGCGCAACTCGGAAGTGGAAACACTCCACCAAACCCTCACGGTGTACCGGGAGTTCGCTCTGGGGGGCGAGGTGGATTTGGCACTGATGGCGGTTAAGGCTTTCTTGACGAGCCAAACCACGATCTGCATGCTGAGGCGGGAGCTCGAGGAAGAGCGAATGAGCGAGAAGTCGCGAGGGCCGGGCATTTCAGGGGTGGACGGAGACGCTAGGGGTGCGGGCCCTTCTTCGTCGTCGAGACCTCCGCGTCTGCTGGGTTTTTAATTTATTTCTGCTTCGGGAACTCGTTCCCTTGTAACTTTTATTTTCGAACTCGAACCGGCGGCCGCTTTGGTCCTGAGATCTTTATCTTATTTCACATGGCTTCGTCTTTTGCACTTTTTGTGTTTTATCTTGCGTCGCGGATTCGGAGTCTCGGTTTTTGGGCCATTACGCGC